AAATACGGCTCAAAAGTGAGAGAAATTTAATGCGACGGTAAGGTTCAAGAGTATACCGATCAGTTGGAAAAAAAAAACAAGCAGCACCGATTTATAGCAAACCAGCAGTCTGATTTCCGTGAGTGTTCCAAGTCGCGTGAACATCTTTACCAGTTACAGAATGCTAATGACCGATAGCAAGCCCTTTATTCAATGCGCCGCTTCCCAATGGACTGGGCCTATGGACGGATCAAAGTCAAGTCGAATACGGGCAAACAGGGAGAGTGTACAGGCTCGAAATCCACCGTCAAAAAAGAGACAGAAAAATGTCAACAATCGTGAGTATATTTGAACGGGGAAACAGAAGACCGTGGGAATATGAATGATAAGCAAAGGGGACTGCTCTACAGTCTTCTTGGTCCTACTGCTTTTCACGCACGGCTAACTCCAGTATTAGCGTGGACTGCTCCTCTCACAGTAGCCCGTAAAATCTGATCTTTTGTCTCAATTCTGCTAGGGGTTGTCGCAATCCTGATCTCTGTAATGCCGGTAAAAATCTCTCGTGTTATTTCCACCCCTCTTAAACGTAAATTTTTCTCCCTCCCATTAAATTCAGACGTAAAAGTTCTCCGTCTCACGGATTAACACAACCTACCGATAATACCCATAGATTTTCTTTTTCGGTCATCATGAGCATATATTTTCTTGCCTCTCGTGGTGCGCGCAAAATTGGCTTGCTCTTCTGTGCCAAACGTTTCATTACATTCATTAACCGCCACTCACTCGACAAAGCTGAGATCCACTCCACAGTCGAATACTGCAGTAGTGTGCAGGATGGAGCTTCGTTGACCTCTGTATCCTCTTGATCCGATTCAACGTAAGGCCGTTCGCCTCATCAACAACGCGTAACTCAAAAACCATAGCTTACCGTCAAACGGACGCCATCTGATTCTCATTCCAGGGAATTCAGGGAGTTATACATGGGGTTACTATGCGATGAAGCAGCAATACAAATCCCGTCTGTGCCCATTATACGTTGTTGCCCATATTGTTCACTTTGTTGCATCTGGTTTAGATCATGTTACAGGCACAGTTAGTTTGACTTTGGTCGATCTTGCAAGAGCCTGTTTCTCTCGACCGAAGAGTGATTATCGGACGTCTTTTTGAGTGTGATCTGTTACCTGATAGTTTGAATGCTTTATTCAACTATTTCTCCCGTTGGACTCAGTGAACTCCATTTAATGGAACACAGTACTCTTCGATAAATATTGCTATTGGTATTCTCTGTGCCCTTTCGTTTTTCTATGTACATACAGAATCTCCCCATTCCCAGTCACTTTATTACTTGCAAGAATGCTGACGATATTGTGACTGTCCCCTCCAGGATAGCCTTAATGAACTTTGCGATTAGTCCGTACTCCGATCTCTTGTATTTAACATCAATAAGTGCATTGATGTTCCCTTTAGTCTTAAAACCGGATCTTGTTATCTTATCAAGTAATCTCCCTTACCTTATATAGTCAGTAATCAAAACGTCCCCGAATCGGATTTTGTTTTATACCTCGGTGTCATCCTCACCTATCATCTGTCCTGGTCTGCTGATGTTATCCACGTTTTTACAAAAATTAGGCTACTATCCTTTTATACATACAGGCCCAGGAAACTGACTGTTTCACATAACCTTATTCTTCAACTCGTGAATGCGTGCATCCCATCATACCGATTACGCTGTTCCTTGATATTTTTATACCTCATTTGAAGGAAAAGACTTTGACTTGTTTTCCAGATCCCTTAAACTTTTGTCCGGATACAGCAAAACTGATAGATTTGTTTTAGTCGAGTGTTTTTATTTCCAAGCATTTCGACGCTTGTGAAAAGTTCATCGACAGGATACCACGTGACCAAGGGCATCGTCTGTACCGAAAAATCGAGCGAACTGTACCAAATCCCCGAATTCGCTCAAAATATCAACTCCGTCCCGCATGTACTTCCATATACAGAAACAACGCAGTTCTATACTGTACTCGGTTCTTGGTTAATTGTAGGACAACTGTCACCCACCTCAGGAAAGACTCGTATACTAACTTCTTTTCTTTTACTAGACTATCGAATTTATTTTCTGATTTTTTTGGTGGATCGCAAATTTTGTGTGCTGTGAACGATCGTAAATTGCTAAACATTCACCCGTTGGGTGCATAAGACGTTTCTTGGTTTGACTTGTTTAGGAAAAAAAATTCACTTCGACAGAGTAAATTACATGGATCTTGATGTTTCTCTCAAAAAAGACGAAAGATTATCGTGTGATGATGACTGGTGGATCATCAGCTCACTCGGAATGGCAGTCAAGGGTGTGTTTTTAGAGCTTTTGATCATCATCTTCGCGGAAATAAGGCACACGCACCTAAACAAACCAAAAGGACATCTACCTCAGAAATGGGTTACGTCAATCAAATATTTACTTCACACCGCCTTCGGCAACATCATTACAAGCTTCAGCAATCAATGGCAGTCTATTTTATAGATTTTTATGCGGTAGTCGACTTCGTCGATCGCGATTCCCTTGGAAACCTGGCACTAGCCGGTGCCGTTTCCGTCAAACGCGTTCGTCCTATAAGGTCTACGTCGAGAAGTCACTTGGGTGTGGAGTACGAAAACGGGTGATCCCCATCATCCCCAGTACTGTCCACAATGACAAGATAGACTTTGGAACACGGTACTCAAAAATCACCATTTGATCAGCACACGGCTTTGTGCACTGGTACAGCGGAGATTTCTGTAGTGTTTCGGGCGTTCTGTGCCAATCTGGTCAATGATTGAATAAAGTCACTCTAGGCCCATCATTCGACCCGAAAAGGCATTCTAGTCTCTCCATGAACATCCCACAACTCGATTAAGCATCGTATGCGAAGACCCGGAACACCGGTCTTCGATCCGTATACAGTAGGCGTGGCTGGCAGGCAGATTCGATCGCACTCTGCACAGAGTTTGCCGCGGAAAATTGCAAGTAGGAAATCACCATTCAGGGATATCCATGAAACCAGTATATCTTCTCAGGAGCGAGCCACTGTCAAACAAACAGTTACTAGCAGCTCACTGCGGGGAGTCATTTTTATTACCGACTACAGCCAAGTATACCAAACAATAAAAATAATCATGATAAATCAAGAAAAAAATGAGACAATTAATCCGGGAAAAAACTCACCAACTTCGCTCGGGTATATACTTCAATTCCGGTGCCGGGATGAGTTCAGCCAGTTGAAACAGGTGCAATGATCTCCAGCGATAGCGCAGGACGGAGACACAATCAGCGATCGATTTCCGAACACTATAGTATCAGAAGTAGGAGACGGAAGACAGGAAACATTCCACCAATTGATAACGGTAGAGAAATTGGGATTCTGGCCATTCGAATAATAATTAAACAGACAAAACGGAATCTTGCAGGTACCAAGAAAACTTCAAATTAAGGGAAATAGATGTAGTCATTGCATAAATACCGAAAGAAGATGTGTCGTGCGCGTGATTTCAACATTTCGAGTAATCCTCTCAATCGCTGACGTAGAGAAGTCACACAATTAAGTAGCACATTGGGTTGACTGAAATCGGGTGAACGGACGAGTACGGATAGGCAAAGGCTATGAAAATTCAAAACAAAAGATCGTCCACACTGCATGTTTATTGAATGCGTCCGTTAAATTGTGCTGTACAACTTCTGTAAGCAGTGAGGCATGAATTTCCGTTTTCAAAAAACGATACAAGCCAGTCGTCCCCCGGAACATATTTGAGGCGGAAACATTTGTTCAGACAGTATAGAGACAAGGTTAAGACCAACCATTTTCGCGTCTGTCAAAATCAACTCCTCGAGTCATGGCAATGAGTCGGGGCCGAACGGCTGCAAACGCGCATTTTACAAATGATCCAAACTACGAATACGCATCGTCCAGGACGTGGTTGCATCGGAAAGCTAGCTTCAAATCGATGGTCCACCGGAGAAGTTGGTATTTTGGGGTGGATTCCGTATTACGGATATCAATAAACGGCTTCGTAATAACGCTTTCATTACGAATTCTTGTGTTCATAGTGTCTGGTAGACAAACATTTTCGGTTCAATGAAATACGAACCTCACAAGTCCGTGTTTGTGAAACACGGGCGAAAAGCTAGAAAGACAGTCTTTGTTAAACGGAATGTCTCGTCATCATATTAAGCGATTAATGATTCCCATAAGTGGAAACGACCAAGAATACTCTTCTGCCTTATGAGATACAGGGAGGGGTGGATGGACAGAGCTAGAATGTTGTAAAAGCGAGTGAAAATGTTCACGCTCCATGAAAAACTTCACATCGCACCTTGGACAGAAGAGGGACTAAGAAATATTGTCGGAGAGTATCGGTTCAAACAGCGAAGAAACTACTATGAACTATCATTTCGGCTGTAAAGGAATTACATAAAAAGGTTGGTGGCACACGCATGGGCAGTCCATTGAGTCCGGTTTTGGCATATTACATTCATGTAAGCAATGGAGGATTGATTAAATTTCAAATGGGAACTCATCGTGTATATAGCAAATGAAGCGTGAACTGAAAAGCTGGGAAGCACTGGACAGCTGTTTTGACCTGGTTGGGTCTCATTGGCAGTGCGAATCTATTTACCCAACTGGGGACTGAACCCGGGACCTCATAAGCAGAACGCAAGCATGCTACCCACTCCACCACCGGGTAGCTGATCAGACCGTTTTCCACTTCTCATTTACACGATAGAGCACTACCCATATTTGCGAGCTTGTTGCGGGCCACAGACCCTGCTCATCTCAGCACTAGCCTCCAGGGTTGTGACTCGGTTGGAAACATTCACAACCTGACTAATTCTACCCATGAGGTCCCGGGTTCGATCCCCAGTTGGGTCGATGGATTCGCACTGGTGATAAGACCCAACCAGGTCGAAACAGTTGTCCAGTACTTCCCAACTTTTTAGTTAATGCTTCATTTGCTATATACATGACGAATTCCCATTTGAAATATATGTTCAGTTTGCCCCTCGATAGACCGGGGTAACTCCCAAAGGAATCAACCATAACGCACACCAAAATGAGTCACTTCAATGTATCGTAGCCAGTAGCTCAATCGACCGTGGGGCAAAAGATAGGCAGCGTGATACAAAAAGAAGTGTTAAAAATCCATAATGCCGAATCTCAGTAGGTTGGGTGGATGCAAGTTGCGGATAGGGCCTGGCAAAGATGATACATCATTGCACATGGAATGTGTACTGGGGAAGTGGGGGGGGAGGGGAGGGTGAAACACTTACTTTCCACGAGAATAATCATCTATCTTTCATTGCTTTTTTAACAAAGCGCCCAAACTATTTCACGTAAAATTTGGGTGAAGAAGTGGTGTACATCGTCACTTTCTGTGTAACTTCATGGGAGGAAAAGATACCGGATGGGATTTACACCCCACCCCCACCAAGAAAAAAATAACACAAGTTCCATACTTCCCTTTGGAATGTTTATCACACGAACAGACAGTTTCATTAATGATCTATTCTCCTTTCTTCCGTTCCCATGAACAGCTGTGGGGATAATCGTAGACGAACAACAGGGAAAACAAAAGCAAAGATAGCTCTGTACATCGAAATTTCAACATTTTCCGGTCTGTCCGGACGTACAAAGGAAACGAGAGACCCATCTACAACAGTCCGTATTGTAAAAGGAAACCGTGGGTGTATACGAGTCAGAAATGGCATCAGTGACGAACATTTGATCCACTTTTCACATTCGTGAATCCGTGACGGTGATTACGATGTACTGGATCCGTAATCCCTCAAGTGAGGGTTGAATGCAACGGTGTCAGACAGATAGAAAATCACGCTAACCTGTTCGGAACACAAAAGACCAGACACTGACCTGGGATGCACTTCCGTCAACGGGTCCAACGAAGGCATCGGGTCTCCCAGTAACGCAGATACTGTGTGCGCCACACTCTCGGCCAGCGAATCTTTGTAGTACCCACCCTGGGTTGACGAGTAGAAAGATGAGTAACAATGCATAGAAAGCACGGAGCAGTAAAGAATGCGGTCATATAACTGTGATTTTTATGTAGAGGACTGAGTGCCGTATCAACCAAATCACTATTAAGAGCTAGGGTATTCCTCATCGAGGACAGAGATGGGGAACTTCAAGAAACCTTTGTACTTCGCGCCATGTGTTCGTGTTAACAAATGAATAAACAATAAAATATTTAGTAACGTCAAAAAAGAAAGGCTACTCTAAGTCTACAGTTAGTGGAACTTAGCGTTAACGGGCAACACACCAGTGGTTATCGGTGAATAGATGGGTATTGAGTCAGTGAATAACCGATCACGGACCATCCGCACCAATGACCGAGGACGTGATAGGTCTTCTTCCGCTGACGAGTGATCTCTATACAGCAGAAAGCCAACACAGTTCGCGAAAATAATTGTTTTGTGCGAATCCAGTCCCTTTTAAATAAGGTCAATGCCATCCCACTGTTGTTCTACAGGTGTAGCACTTGGTTATGCAAGGATGAGCAGCGAATGTTCAACAACAACAAAAAATGATGCAGAGTGCTACTACAGATCACACTTATTTCCAAGCCTCCTAAGATGCTCAGGATTCAATGGAATAATCTTCACTTAGACCTTATTCAACTCAAAGTCAAGCCTTACTTGTCACAGTCTAACCACAAGCAAGCAAAACAAGGGTATGGCGATTTGATTCCACATTGACTTACATGTTCAAATGAGGCTAGTAGAAAGAGTTTGGCAGTGACACTATAAACAACCATCCGTCTGCGCGGTGTAGGTAGGCAATCGGTGTCTCGTCACACACACAAATTGTCATTGGGTTTCACTTCTGCTACCCGTGATTTAATATCATTCGACTCCATGAATGGATATCTTGTTGACGGTAGCAAAGGAAAGCAAGCAACTATCGCAATCTAGTACAATTCCGTAACGCGAAGTAAAATAGTCATTCATCTATCCAAGTACCATTCGGGGGCTCAATAATCTTCAACCAAGCAACCAAACTGGTGATCAGGATGTTACGGGTTTGGTTACTGTAACTTCGTTAACGATTTTAACCATGGATAATAAAAACAGTATCAGTGAAACAAAAATCGAAGGATTACTGTAGTTGAGGAATTGAAATATGATCAGTCAGATGGGTCAGTGTTACTGTTCGCAAAACAACAAAGAAACATTGATCGAAATCACCCAGTGCAATCAGTCACTTGTCTATCAAACTGATCCGTCGGAATCCAGATGAGAATGCTGAAAAAGAGATTTACCGGACCACCCGCAGAAACCAATTGTTCGACCAGGCGGTTTGCATGGTTCAACCATGGAATCAAACTGACTGTTGTGCGGTGAACGGGACAATGCTTTTGACTTAAAAAAGAAAAAGAAAAACAACAAAAGCTTATTGTCGGGAACTGGGCAGGAAAAAATGTGACACTCACTTCGAGTGCAATGACCAGTTTGCCTTCTGCCAGACACATTAACATATGAGTCAAGTGTGCGAACAACGCCGGGCTGATTTGAAGTTCACCCTGTAGGGAGAAGAGAAGTACATCACAGTAAAATTGCGCAGGCACACGGAAATACTCTTACAACAAGAGGATGGTCTCGTACATCTTGGTGAAAAATTACGAACTGATAATATTTATAAGAACTACTAGTACAGGGGAGTGGGGTGTGTGTGGCAAATGTGATGCTAAGGAGTTCGGGAGCTCGATGATCTACCATTTGGCCCCGTTTTAGGAAAGAAGCACATAAGGTTCAAATCGAACAATTGTGGTAATGAGCAACAACAATTGTGACTGCCTGCCATCAAAGTCAGTTTATCACCATTGACCTCTGCAGATAACTTCTTGCTAAGAAAACACAGAATCAGCACTCACCAGCGGACACCCAAAGGCACAATCGTAACCCGCGGAAACCAACACCAAATCGGGATCGAACTGAAGGGAAATTTGACAGGGAGACAGGATGGGAGTAAGTTGAAAAAGTTCACCGTTAGCATTCTTAGCTTACAATTATTCATGAATCAGGATGTGGGAGATACGCGCTATTGATTTTGACCGACTATCATTCAAACTGAATCTGAACATGCAATCCTGAGTTTTCCAGTCAATCGTACACTCGGAAAACACTAGACTATAGTTTCGCTCTCGTTAGAGCTCATCAGTATGGTACAGATTAATCGTGAAATTGGGAGTTTGAACTCCGGACTCGCAGTAATGAAGGCGTGTATACAACTGCATCAACCAGAATTACCGACTCATGTTTTAAATATCATTTTAAGAGACCAGCCAGTTGTTTGTCCGACAGAAAAATCACGTGAGTGTCAATGGAGAAGAGAGTAGACTGATGATTACTCACCTCATAAGCGATCGGTAGAATGAGTTGGTGGAAAATGGCCAAATAATCCGAATCTCCAACATCTTTCTAAAAAATAATAACGAGGAATCGGGTGGAATAAATCTAATAGATAAAATGAGATGAGTGATCAAGTGCAACGCAATTCATGTGAATAGCAGCGATAGCACAGAGAAGCAAACGCTTTATGCAGCTGTTCTGACCTACGGCGACCACGGCATGCGCAGTACATGCCAAACTGGATAAACACAAGCAACCAAAAATGTCAATACCAAAAAAAACACGAAACAAACGAGTTAAGTTATGCCACTCAGTTATCTAATTTCCACACCGGCTTGAGAGCAAGCCAGGTTAATTTCACCATATACACGTTGGTTTTTTTTGTCTTCTATCTGGTTCCAACAAAAAAAACCGCACAGCACTCGTGCCATTGAAAGCTATTCTGAGTCATATCTCTGAGTATCTCTACCGATCAGCAATTCCCATCCCCTGGGGCCCCAGCCTGGAAGGCGAGCTGTATCAACCGAAACCAGTGCTGGGGCTAAACTTCTTCATACCCCTACGCTAGGTCATGGTCTGACCACCACGGCACTTCGTTCACCACATACAAACAGAACATGGAAAGATCAACGACGGACGAGAACACGGAAAACATGACCGAGTCTCACTGAGATCGTGGGGAACGATTGCTTCTTTTAGACAACCGATTTCGTCATTTTTTCACGCGATATTCCCACTAGACACCAGTAATGCTTTGACGGTTGTGTTGATCGAATACGGAAGGTTAATTAGCATCCTCAACTCAGAGAAGTCAGGTCTAGCAACCGTAAAGCAAAATACTGAGAACCGAGGCGATGTACAGCCTAGCCTCAAGGGAAAATCGACAACCGTGCAGTAGGTTGGCTCTGGCTTTTGTTTAATGCGACTTGATCTCAACTCAACACTACCTCCAGGTGCGATCAAGCTTTCGAGGTAATTTAAGCTCTTCCAGCTGACCACCACAAAGAATCAGTGCACGCACAACGCCCTATTAGCCTAGCACGAGCACTTGGATAGTGTAAAACACCGATCACATCTGGATAACTGAATCGTCAAGTGGTTCAGAGCATGTTGGTGTATTGCCATCGAGCAAGACGGTGTCAATAACTCAGCTCCCTGGGGGAGGGGGGGAGGGGGTTTACCTCCATTGTTTACCAGACCGGACAAAGTATTCAGCAGAACTTTCTCCATTGAAAAATTAGAACGGATGAGGGATATGAGGGAGCCTTGCCGCATTCAACTAAAGACGACAAAGGGGGGGGGGGGGGGAAA